CCTGCACGAGGGCGGGGCGATACATACAAACTTGCGTCTCTGCGTCCTCCTGAAAGGAGGAGACTGAACAGGCCGGCGAGCGGGGAAGGGACACGCAAAGCTTTCTGGGGATTGAAGTCCTGCGCCAGCGTGCACCGATCCCAGCTCTGCGCGATACATACAAACTTGCGTCTCTGCGTCCTCCTGAAAGGAGGAGACTGAACAGGCCGGCGAGCGGGGAAGGGACACGCAAAGCTTTCTGGGGATTGAAGTCCTGCGCCAGCGTGCACCGATCCCAGCTCTGCGTGCGCGGCGTGGATTTTTAGTCCACCCGCGCCTCACGGGCTACTCTCTGCTCGTGTTCCACTCGGTCACACGCCCCTCCCCAGTGCTGGTACGTTAGCAGCGAGGCGTGGCTCAGCTGCGTTTGCCAGAGAAGCAAGAAGTCACCTTCCCAGATTCCATCCGTGCTAAGTGGTTTAGCCTTGTATTTATTGCACGCCCTGTGTGCTGCATTTTGAATTCACACCAACCCCCTAGGAGCTATAGACTCACTGATTTAAGGGAGAAGAGCAAACACCACGTTAATTTAACGAAACAGGTTTACCATCTTGCGGCATAACACTTTCATTTTACTGTAATATTGCATTCAAAGTTGGGGGGGGGGGTTGGTTGCCTTTACAATTTTAAAAAGAAGGGACAAAATAAGAACTGCTAAATACAGGGATGAGTAATACTTTTTGGTGGGGAGAGCGGTTACTCCCAGATTTTGGAAAGGGGTCAAGGGCCACCCTTTTCTGTGGAGGAGATGCAGGGTCTGGGATGGTGCACAGAGTAAGGGACTGGGGTGCTGGAGATGATGTGGGGACTGAGAGGGAGTTTGGGCGACGGAGGGGGTTGTGACCTGGGGCAGAGGTTTTGGGTGTAGGGTCCAGGAAGGGGTCTGGATGCAGGAAAGGATTCTGGCCTGAGGGGGGGTACAGAATCTGGGAAGGAGTTGTGACCTGGTGCAGAGGGTATGGATGGTGACCTGGGGGAGGGAGTTGGGGTGTCAGAGGCAGGCTCTGTTGGGGTGCTAACAGTCCTGTAGCACCCCCAAGGTAGACTAGGCTCCCTGCCTGCTGCAACCCCAGCCCACTTACAACTGCAAGGTGCTCCCTCCATGTGGCTCTTTAGGTCCCCTGGCCAATCTCGCAGCTCCTACTAGCTGGTTGTTTCTGGCCAATAGAAGCTGAGAGGGTGTGTGGGGTCAGTTCTGGCCAATAGGAGCTGAGGATTGGGCTGGAGGTGGGGAGATCACACAAAGTCTTTCCCTCCTTCCAGAGTAGAGCCTCACACCTAGCAGTCTTCAGCTTAAACCAGCAGCTGCTGTGTGCCTGAGGGTCCTGGCATGGGGTCCGCAGGCCAGATCTGGTATCTTGCCCACTCCTGGCTTAATCATAGGGTGGTCATGTTTCCCTATGCCGAACATGGGACACCTGGTAAAATTAATCAAGTGAGTTCAATGGCAATCAGAACTAGGGACCACAGACAAACAAATTAACATCAAGTTGACTGTGCTCCAGTTAAAAAGAAATACTGTGTAGCTGGAATCTTTTTAATTAACTTATCTTTAAGCTTTGCCTGGGGAGAAGTTACATGACCCAACCTTCCCTGCTCAGTGCTTTCCAGGGTGGGCCCTGCCTCTCTTGGTACCACATCTTCTTGAGGCAATATGTGGGGGACAGGCAGGGTCACAGGCCTGCGGGGGAGCCCTGGATGCAACCCACATCCCTGTCCGTGCCCCGGAGCATTGAGCACACCAGTTTGGGGTGGGCAGATCGACCGTCAGTGCCGTTGTCATACAGGTAAGTCCCGGGGGTGTGCGGGGGGAGTGCTGCACTCCATGCCGCACACCAGTTTGGACTCCAGGCTGGGGCGATGGGGAATGCCCCATCACCCAGGGGTTTGGGCCATCCCTCCCTTGCACAGGCCTGCTGGTGGGGGCACCCTGATGCGTGCCTGTGTGTGTGAGGACAGAGGGCATCATGGGTGGGGGCCCCCCTCAAGGGAGCACGCACTCCCTTGTGATGTGTTCCCCTGTGTTTCCCCTGCCTTATGGGATGTGTTCCCCTGTGTTTCTCTGCACCCTTCTGCAGGTCATCCATGCCATCAATGACGTCCTGCTCCCAAGAGTCATGCGCAACATGGAGGCTACGATGGCTGGCTTCACTGCCCTCGGGTTCCCCAACTGCAGGGGAGCCCTGGATGCAACCCACATCCCCGTCCGTGCCCCGGAGCATCGAGCGGCCCATTTTATAAACAGAAAGGGATATTTCTCAATTGTACTCCAGGCCCTCATGGACCACTGTGGCCGCTTCCTGGACATTTATGCGGGTTGGTCTGGCAGGGCACATGACGCCCGCATCCTACGCAACTTCGACCTGTTTGGCAGGCTGGAGGCGGGGCACTTACTTCCCCCAGCGGGAATTTACTGTCGGGGATGTGCCCATGCCCACATGTGTTGTCGGGGGTGCGGCCTACCCCCTGCTGCCCTGGCTAATTGGGGGCGGCTGGACCACAACCGGGCCTGGTTCAACGATTGCCTCAACCGGGCCCGCAACCAAGTGGAGTGCGCCTTCAGGCATCTGAAAGCCTGGTTTCATTGTTTGCTCACCCGTCTGGAGATGGGTGAGCGGAATGTCCTAGAGGTAGTGACCGCATGCTGCATACTCCACAATCTCGTGGAGCGGAGGGGGGAGGCCTTCCTCCCGGCATGGATGGCAGGCAAGGGCCATGCCTATGAACAGCCTATGAAGAGCTGCCATCCGCCAGGTGCACCACGATGTGGTGCGCATCCAGGAGGCCCTGACGGAGATGTTCTCCCAGGCTCCATAGTAGGGTTGCGTCTGTCTCCCTTTACATCTCCCTCCAATCCCCTCACCTTCCCTCCTTTCCTCCCTTTATCTTCCAACCAACACAGTTTTTTTTGGACCACAACGTTTGAACTTTTTATATACAATGGGGAGGGGGGAGATGTAGGTTGGGAGGGGGAGGAGGCTCTTAACTGGGAGTGGGAGCTACTGATGGGAGGGGTGGCCCCTGCGACTGCTTCTGCGGGGGCAGACCTGTACATGGGGGTGAGGCCACGTCGGGGCAGGCAGCACGGGGAGGTGGGGAGGAGGGGCAGGAGCAGGAGGGGCCATTGGAGGAGCAGGAGGGGGCACGGGCGGGGGGCAGCAGGGGGAGGTGGGGAGGAGGGGCAGGAGCAGGAGGGGCCATTGGAGGAGCAGGAGGGGGCACGGGCATTGCTGTGGGAGGGATGGCAGGTGCATGGGGCAAGGCCATGCCATAATGTATGGCGTGGCCAATGTGCGTGGTAAGGGTGGAAATGGCATCTGCCATGCACATGCACATGCACTGGGCCTGGAAGGGGCCCCAGGCCTCCTGGCACCACTGCAGGTCCGCCTCCACCCGGCACGTAATGGCTGCCTCCACCCGTTTGACTGCCTGCACGTGCCACCAAAGGAGCTGGTTCCGCTGCCGGACCTGCTGCCTTGGTGATTGGGTGGCTGGGAAGAGGCTGGTCCCCCTGCCGGACCCGCCAGCTTCGTGGTTGGGCAGCTGGGGGTGTTGCCGCTGCTGGGGGTGGGAGGGCTCTTGTGTTGTGTTAACCTGTGGAACTCCCTGCCAGGAGGCTGTGAGGCTTTGGGCTAATCAATCAATGGTGTTTGACAAGGAGCAAGATGAATCCCCACACAGTGCCTGGGAGCACATCTGGCAGACGTGGTCTGGGCTCTCAGATCCCCATCACGTGGGATTCTCCTGGACCGAAACAGGAGAGTGACTGGGGAGTGTACCATCCTTGCAGCAAAACTCAGGTGGCCCTAGGGCCAGCCCGAGCGCTTCCTCCCTCCCCCTCCCGCTAGCCCTCACACACGTAGCCCAGGGACAAGTGTGGCCAGAGTGGGGACTTCCCTGAGGGGGCCAGCCAAGGCATCAGGAGCAGGCGAGGGGCTCAGTGGGGGCCAGGCTGGCAGGGGTGGGGTGGGGAGTGTACCATCCTTGCAGCAAAACTCAGGTGGCCCTAGGGCCAGCCCGAGCGCTTCCTCCCTCCCCCTCCCGCTAGCCCTCACACACGTAGCCCAGGGACAAGTGTGGCCAGAGTGGGGACTTCCCTGAGGGGGCCAGCCAAGGCATCAGGAGCAGGCGAGGGGCTCAGTGGGGGCCAGGCTGGCAGGGGTGGGGTGCTGCGGTTTTCCCAGGAGCAGCCGGCTGTGCCTCAGAGCCAGGCATGGGACAGTGAGCCGTTCTGTGTGCTGCACCCTTGCGGAGGTGCAGGCTCTGGCCTGAACCCCTGGAGCCCTGGCTGGTTCCAGCCGGCATCCACCCTTCCCCCTGGTCCTGCCGGATATGTGTGAGCAGTGCGTAGCTCACGCGGCCTGATTGACGGGCAGCTCTTTCACCTTAGCCCGGACCTGCTCGAGTGTCCAGGCTGGATGTCCCTGGTGTGAGAGCGCCTGGGCCATGCGGTCAAAGATCTCCGTGTTGCAGCGACGGGAGCGGGTGTCGTGGAAAGCCTCCTCCTCCTCCCACAGGTCCAGGAGGGCCTCCAGTTCCCCCGCAGACCGGGATGGCGCCCTATGTTTTCGGCCCCTTGGGGCCTCCTGCACTGGGGGTGCGGGTGGCTGTTCCCCCCTGGAGCAGCCATCCTGCTCTGGTGGCTTTTCGGGGACGGCAGCAGAGCCGTGTGGCAGAGCTCTGGGCAGAGGTGGCAAAGCTGCTTCTGCCTCATGGCCTCTGCAGGCTGCATCTGCCTTTAAGGGGGCTTGGGTTACCAGGAAGTCCGGAGCTGCCTGCAGGTACGGCGCGTCCAAGCGGCCACTAGGGCTTTTTTCTGTTTAGACTGCTTTTGCGCAAAATGTCTTGGCTGCCTGTCTACACT